AGCATCTTTGGAGGTTGCCAATCTATTATTGTGAATTTTGGGCCAGAATAAACAATTTGCTCTCCCTTTCCCATATCTCCCTCTGCCCGTCACCACCCCTATGGCGGCACCCCCACCCATGGACCCACTCCCCCCGGGAACATACCCTCCATTTCCATCTATTGTTGTTCCATATGTTAGTGTTTGATGATAAGTGTAGTCACATATAATTTGGTCTTGATGTTCCCACCCCTTGAAATTACCTGCTCCTTCCAGTGTATTAAAGAAGGTAAAGTGCACTAGTATCGATAGCAGCAGGATTGGTGTCAATGGTAACATAGGAGTGGGGTATTTGTAAACAACAATATCTAATTGTCAACCTGCTACAAATGAGGCTAAGTGCTAGTGCAGGCCTCGAAACAGTTGTTTAAAGTGCTGCTGTAACAATTCTTTAAAGTGCTACTATAACAGGTTGTTTAAAGTGCTACTATAACAGGTTGTTTAAAGTGCTACTATAACAGTTGTTTAAAGTGCTACTATAACTACAATTTAATCACCATGGGACGCTTTGGGACCAGTTAATAGCATGGCCCCTGGTAGACTAGGAGGTAGATCTAATAAAGTGCTCTAGGCTAAAGTGACGTAGTGTTAACCAAGTTCAAATATTAGTGTCTTCTTATATGACACCACATCCCAATCAAAGGGGGTCAATTTAAACACAAGGAGTCCGGCTTCCTGGACCCGTGAAGTACAAGCCGGCATCCGCTGGCCAGATCCCCTAGAGTTCTCTTGACCGTCCAAGGAGGGAAATGGCAGTTCCACAGAAGGATGTAAATTCGTGCACTGAAGACAGTAGCTATTACAGTCACAATTTGCCAATGAGCTTCTCCAATTAGAGGTTGATGTATTTACAAAACTCAACTCCACCAAAGGGGGCAGTGTAGGAAGTATTTGGCTCACTCGGATCCGAACGCCACACACTCTCTAGTTCCCCCTTCCTTCGCTTCATCGCTGCCAGCTCCTCGGTGAACCAGGGAGCTGGTTTAGCTCGGCTACTTGAGAGGGGACGTTCCGGAGCGATCGTGTCAATTGCCCTAGTCATCTCCCCATTCCAGAGAGTGACCAGGGCCTCGACAGGATCACCTACCGAGGCGGCGGGAAACTCCCCAAGAGCCATCAGGAATCCATCCGGATCCATAAGCCTCCTGGGGCGGACCAACTTGATGGATCCTCCACCTCTGCAGAGGTCAGGGGGCGCAGTGAGCCTAAATCTGACCAGGAAGTGGTCGGTCCATGGCAACAGAGAGATGGTCAGCTCCTCNCCTCGACAGGATCACCTACCGAGGCGGCGGGAAACTCCCCAAGAGCCATCAGGAATCCATCCGGATCCATAAACCTCCTGGGGCGGACTAACTTAATGGGTCCTCCACCTCTGCAGAGGTTAGGGGGCGCAGTGAGCCTAAATCTGACCAGGAAGTGGTCAGTCCATGGCAACGGAGAGATGGTCAGCTCCTCGACCCCACCACCTTCCTCCCATCCCTGGCAGAAAACCAAGTCCAATGTATGTCCTGCACTATGAGTGGGGCCAGATACTTGCTGGGACAGCCCCATGGTTGCCATGGCAGACATGAAGTCCTGAGCCGCTCCTGAAAGGGCCGCCTCGGCATGGACATTGAAGTCCCCCAGCACAAGGAGCCGCTGGGATTCCAATGCCACGCCTGAGACCACCCCCGCTAGCTCAGGTAAGGAGACGGTAGTGCAGCGAGGTGGGTGGTACACTAACAGAATCCCTATTCTGTCCCGGTCACCCAACCTCAAGTGGACACATTCAAAATTTGTTGACTGCGGGATGGGGCCCCTGGTCAGAGGGATGGAATCTCTATAGACCACTGCGACCCCGCCTCCCCGCCCTCCGGATCTCGGCTGGTGCTGCACGGAAAAACCTGGTGGGCAAAGCTGGGTCAAATTCACGCCTCCCGCTTCGTCCAACCAGGTCTCCGTGATGCACGCCAGATCTGCCCGCTCATCCAGGATTAAGTCTTGGATGAAAGTTGTTTTTCCATTGACAGATCTGGCGTTCAACAGCACCACCTTCAATCCAGAGGGACCGCCATCCTGGTTACACCAGTTTACCATATCAGGAGACCGGTTTGGAATTACTAATGTTGTTACACGATCCCTAGGCCGAATTAATGGTCTCCTTTTCCCGCATCTCCCCTTCCCCACCACCACTTCTATGGGGGCCCCTCGGCTGGCGCAACACCCCCCCTCCTCCATGCCGCATTCCATATCCAGAATCTCAATATGTATTTCATTGTTGGCAATTTGCTTTGTTGGGATCTTCTGTTTGTCGTGGGAGTTCTGTGTGTCATATTTGGTTCAATTCCATCATCGGTGGAGTTCAGAATGCTCTTTGATTGTGGGTGAACTATACATCCCAGTAACTACAACTCACATATGTCAAGGTCTATTTTCTCCCAAGAGCGGCTCAAGAGTGCCCTGGGGCAAAATCAACTATACTGCAAATGCCTACTTTACGTAATGGGTTGAGCCACCCCTGAGGAAGGAAGACAAGAAGGAGGAGGAAGAGAAGAAGGGAACAGAAAATAGAACCAAGAGGAAGAGCAGAAGGTGGTGACCCACTTTCATGCCTTCAATTACTCCCAGACTCTGAAAATAAAATATTGACACATTCCTAGGACTCATCACTTCCAAATGCCACGATGGATTTAAAAAGGAACAAATTGTTTCTATAAATGAAAGGTTTTTTTTGGAGGAACTTGAATTTCTTCTTGTTGGAGAGAGGAGGCCACCTTCTTGGATTGACATCTTTATTGTGAGCTTGAGCATGAGAGCGAAGCTGAGTTCTGGAATCTCGCAAGACCTGAGGCAAACTTCTCCTTCTTCCTCTCCCTTGTGTTTTGTGTACATTTAAATGAGCTTTCAATGGCTTTGATAGCTAGGTATTAGCTAGGTATTCGGCTATGTAATTATACTGCAATTAAATTTAATAGCTTTGCTAACAGCTCAATAGTAGAAGA